TTAGAGCTCTAACATTCAGAGATGTCCATCACTTTGTCTCTAATACAGAGGCTTTTTTTTGGGGGGGGACAATCAGTGACTCTTCAAAACCCTGATATGTCCTGACTATATAAAACACAAGCTTTGAATTGAAAAAGACAAAACTGTCTTTTCAAATTGTATTAATAAGGAAAATAACATAAACTTCACTGTGTTGCTTCACCATTCTAGGACATACAAAGAACAGCCTTGTCTGTTGAGGATTAGAACCGTCTGTCCACTCTTCGTCATTTCTGCTTGCGCTGGGCACAGATTGCATTGTGAAGTCTGCCTAGGTGGATAACACGACAGGGAAGCATTTGAAATACATGCAGGAATCATCAGGGTACCCTAATTAGCCAAATACACAAATCCTTGTCCTTGAAAGAAAGCCTGAACTCCGTAATGCAGTTAATGAGGCTCCTCCCACATTTACACCTGAGGCTCCATCCCTGCCCACTCTCTCCTCCGAGCTTTTGCACATACCCACGTTTCCCGGCCAGGCCCTACAGACCTCCAGCCTCCAGGGAGACATTTTTCCCTCTATTCCTGCCTCCCTAATTTTGGGTTGGGAGATCTTTCTGTGTGTTTCCACAGCCCCCATGTAGCGCACCTTCACAACATCCTAAATCAAAGTCGCCTTTGACCTAGCTGTCTCTCATTAGATTGGACACTTTACAGTCTTATTGACAGCTATATCCTCCATGTCCAGCTTACCACCTGGGACACAAATACCAGCTGAGTGAATGACTTGAATGAATGAACCCAGTGCTGAGACAGGTTTTCATAAGCATTAATATTTTATATTATGCTGATTTTTTTTGGCCATTATTGCACATTTACTAAGGGATTAAGAAGAGAGAGGAAGAATATGTGGACCGTGTGTGTTTATGTGTGTGTGTAAGGTTGTGAACAAGCTGAGTGTGTGAAGACACCCATGTCCCTGTTTTCTCAGAAAGTCCGGGGAGAGAAGGATGGCAAAGCATCAGGCCTTGTTTTGAGCTGTTCAGATGCTACTCATGCAAATCAGGGAGAAGGGTATCAGGCTTCTAGAACTGAAGACACAGGAAGAGTGTAGGGAACCCCAGCAATGGATGGTGGCAAGGGACTCTTAGCAATGTGTGTATGTGTGCATGACTGTATGTATTAGAGCAACTATTTATTTTGTCAATATTTTCAGGTTACCAAGATGGTAGAACTCTGAGAACTGCAATGACCACCATCTGGACCAGTGACTCCAGGGGAATGGTCCTTTCTGGGAATGGGCAATAGCCTCCTGTTTCCTAGGCATTCCCTCACGGATCCTTTTCCCTTGTCAAATCCTCCTCAGCACCTACCACTGAGCAGTGCAGCACACGGCACTTTAGAGGTTTCAAGGAAACTTAAGGTTCCTGCCTCAAAGAATGAATAATCCAGTCAGCAAGGTGACATCTAAGAAATGGTAAACAAATTAAACAGATAAAAAGAACCAAGGGAGTTAACTGGGTGACATGTCTCTGTGACCTGCAAGAGGCAAGAAGGCTTTCTGGGTTCAGAACTAATCCAAGCTCCAAAGGATGAGTAACATTTAGTCAAGAATATGACAATAAAGGAAGTCGTTGAGTAGAGAAAGATCCTGAATTAAGATGCAGAAACAAAGTCAATGAGTAGGCTGATTTGACTAGAGCAGTAGAACCTGACAGCTGTCAGAGGTAAGGGGGTGGGGGCTGGGTGAGAAGGGTGAAGGAATTAAGCAAAGAAAGAGGGAAAGACTCATGGACACAGAAAACAGTATGGTGATCACCAGAGGGAAGGGGGGTGGGGGAGGTACGAAAAGGTAAAGGGGGATAGATATTGATAGAAGGAGACTTGACTTGGGGTGGTAAACACACAATACAATATACAGATGATGTGCTATAGAACTATGTACCTAAAACCTACATAATTTTATTAACCAATGTTGCTCCAATATTTTTTTTTTAAAAAGAAAGAAAACAGTTGCTATCTTTGACCCCTCAGCATCCAGGAAAGCTACACTATGTTCTCAATGCTGATTTAGAAAATGACATCTCTGAAGCCCAGCCCTGGTTATTCAAAGACACAGGAAGAGCACACAAGTATCAAAGTACCTAGAATTCTAGCAATGTCATATCTGATATGAATAAAAAGCAGTAAGGCTTCCCAAGATTTGGTATAGACTCATGAAGTTGGCATTCCTTATTTGGTTAAGGTGTTTTGACTACCTTCTCAAAAACAACTGTCCCTGCCATTGTCTGCTGTTGACCCCTGTACTGGACTATATGCTCCCTGAGGAGATCACATGCTTTCCCTGCTTTCAGTCTCTGGCACCGAGGTGGAACTCACAGAAAGTCACTCCACTGTGGTCCATTCACCCATCCCCTTAAGCTCTGCCACTTGTACTACACAGCACACCGTGTTTGTGGCCTTCTTCAGAATGCAGAGGAGCAGCTGACGTGCTGATAAGATGAATGAATACCACAAATCCAGCTGACTTATTGGGATGGCAAGATTTCTCTATCTCAAAAAGGGACTCCCACCTCTGTGTTTGGGGTTTGTCCCCTGGTCTTAGGACATACTATGAAATCCAATGCATTAGCAATTCCTAAGACACTGGGTTCTTCTTACAGAAAGCCACTATTACAATGTGCCACTGGCTTGCTCAGTAAGACACAGTGAAACACCACTTCCCATGGTGAGTTTAGATCAACATTAGGTGATGTGGTTGATACTGCTAAAATCACTGTAATGATGTGTCATTAAGGTAATTTTTCAAAATAAAAATAGACTCTCATCAAACTGACAGAACTTGTTTTTATTTTATTTTATGATGGTTTAGGAATCAAAGAAACTGATGCTAACTGGATAGATGTGGTGGACCTTTCCTGACTTCTGACAGTGAGTCAGCTCATTTTATTAACAAGTTAAAGCTAAGTAAATCATGAATCAATGCCCACAAAGCAGGAAAAAATGCCAGTTTCCCACTAAAAATCGCAAAGTGTGATAAACTTATTTCCGTTAAGAAAACTGCTGGAGTTTTTACTGGGGGATTTCCCAAGCAAACAGAGGCAAAGATATATAAGCCAAAAGCGGAAGGTAAGCACATTTCCTCTTCGTGTTTTTACGCTGGACACTAATGCAAACACAGTGAATAATCCAGGGCTGTTTCATGTCGTCTTCCTCTCCAAACCTGATCGGAAGAGATAACCTTCCACGCACTTGCCCATTCCAGTGGGGCTGGCACAGGATGGGGCACGCAGTCTGTGGGGACAGCGGAGCAGCAGGGCAAGGCCACAGCAGTGACACGTCCACGTCGTTCGCCCAGCCATGCAAAGTCTCACCGTCTTCCCCTTCCTCTCCCTTTTCCCTTCCGTGATCAGTTACATGATCAACCACTGCCATCATTTAACATCCTCTGCCTTCTGAACCTGAATCTCTCAGCCAGGCCATGGTGACCTGTCTTTGTGTTAGCAGCAACAGCTGCTCAGTGTCCGCTTCATGACATGTAATATGCTGAGTGCTTTACCTGCTTACCTCACTTCTAATTCCCTACAAGATACAAACTGAAGATCAGAAGAGCTAAGGAACACTGCATCGCCAAGTGCTATCACTGCCAAAAAGGTTTACAACGAATCCATTTACTAAGAAACAATCACACAAATCCAAACTATACAACATTCAGTAAAAGAAATGACCCGAGTTCTTAACTGTCAGTGTCAAGAAAGGCAATAATAATGATGATGATGGTAATTTTTAAAAGCTGGGGAACTTATTAAAGAAAACTAACAAGAATGATCCTTGTTAAATCCTCTTGCCTACATTCTTCTTCCTGCTCTGGATGCTGGTCCCCACTTTTTGCCATATGGAAAAGCCTTCATCTTCCTTCAATGTCTACATTATTGTCTTTCTTCCCCTCCCTCCCTGAGGCGGGGTTAGGGACAGCTTCCTTAAGCTCATGTGGCATCGTTCGTTCAAACAGCATCACTATACTTTGTTTGCATGTCTGTCCTCACTGTACCCTGGGGGGCCAGGACCATGTTCTAATAGTCTTTGCATCCCCAGCACCCAGCACGATCTCTAACACGTACCAGATTCTTATTAAGTGAACAGATGTCTTACTCTAAATAAAGGTACAGGCCTAAATTTCTTAAAAGATGGTTTATTGGACTTAAAATACTTTGTAAAAAAACTCATAGACTATGCCAACAATGATGAAACCACAGATTGCTGGTGAAATCCAAGACTCAGAGCCTTTATTCCTGCTGCCAGTTCAACCCAGTGTTCTGCCTACCCAATGCTGACCTCTCTGGGACTGCACAGGGATTCCCCACAAGAACACTTCCCCCCCTGTGAGTGTCCGAAAGTAGTAACCCCTCGGTAGTTCAAATCCAGCCAGATGACAAGTGAACAGGAGAGCAAGAAGCGTGGCACACTGTCCGCATCACTGCAGGGTTAGGCAGTCCAAGGACAGGAACCGAAGTGTCAAGATTTTAAAATGTTCTCCCGGAAGTCTTTGTGAGGGTGCTATCAACATAAAGTGCTCTGTGCACAGCCCCCTCTCATCACCCTTATAAAGCCCCATGTCCTTTCATGCTACACCCTCAGTCTAACCCTACAGATCTGGGTGCTGGAAGGCACCATCTCATGGTACATTTGGAAAGCATTTCAACCTGCAGGGAAGTTACCTCTAAAATTGAGTCCCTGAGACAAGCTGAGGAAAGGTGGGACAGAGAGATGTTCTGATTTCCCAGCATCAGACACTTTAGTTGGCTGCCAATGTCTTTTCAATTTTTTCCCCCATGGAAAATGAAACAGATGAGATATTTGATCCACATGCTTTGTGTATGTACTTTTAAAATGTCACCTTTGGGTAACTCAACCCACCAATGGATTATTAATAAAATTCACAACTGTCAAAGCACTTCTCCATGTGGAAGGAGGTTTGGCCGCGACACCTATCAGAAGAGAGAGACAGATGGCCTTACCTCTCAGCTCCCGCGTCCACAGCTGTGAGTGGCGGTAACTGGGAGGAGGGGTTATGGGGGCTCCCCTGTACATTATGTCCCGGAGAAGGGTGACTGACAGGATGTGGGGGTGGCACGGCCCCAGCAGCTGTTCCGCTTCGGCTTGAGTGATTGCTGGAGAACATGGAAGCTGAAATCAAGGGAGAACAAGCATCAGACTGCGCCCCAAGTGAAACCCACATTTTTTAAATACCAAAGGCTGACAGCAAGCATATTTTAGGGGCTTGTTTGTTTTTCTCTTGGTGGTTTTGAGGAAAGAGTTCTCCCCTTATTGGATATACACAGCTTTTGTTTTCACGTGCCTTTATGGCTGCTCACATTCTGCTGGTTCCAGGCTGACATCCGTGGTTTTTCCTGAGCACTGCCTGGCCCCACCCACTTCCTGTCTGGACACTGTATAATTAGTCAATCTTGTATGTTTGCATCTGGGCGAAGGTCTCTGCATTAGCACTTTTCACTCAGGAGGGATGGGACTCAGGTAACAGAAGATTTGCTCTGTTGACCTAGCAGGGCACAACACAAGCCTTCTTCCTCTTCTCATCACTGCTGTGAGCCACTGCAGGTCAGGCTGGGGTTCCTCTCTGTCAGTAAAATCAATGTAATGAGAACGGAGCTTCCCCTGATCGTAGCACCAATGCAGCATCCTGCACTCTTTTAACTTCAGAGTCTGACTGACCCCAGGCATTTCCCTGATGGTGTGATGGATGGATGTACTTGGTCTTCATCAAGAATGAGTCTTCTACCATGGCAAAATATGAAAAGGGGGTCTCAAATGCACCTCTGGGATATTCTCCTGCTGTTGCCTATTATGACATGGAGAGTAAGTTAAAGCCTCATTCATAGGGGCTGCCTAGCTTTTGAGAACTGTGTGTGACCTTAGACTTAAATATGTGCCCATTTAGATTGGCTAATTGGTACCATGTCACAGAAGAAACTGGGGCTTGTCACTTTCAGAGTCTACCGCTATCAGAGAGACTCGCTCAGTATCTGGGACCTATTCAGCAGACATCTCATTAGAGTGCAATCACACCAGCATCATTACGCTGACTCTCTTTAACTTCCTTCTCTATACGAAGCTATGCTGAGCTTTATGCCCATCCCTGCTCTGTCTGAACTTACTCTACTGATATCAAAGAATAAATGGATTTAAAAAAAAATAAAAGGAATCAGGCTAAAGATTAAGAAAAAGAAGCCACATAATCAAAGAGATTTGAGGGTTTAAAAGTTCAGGGAGCTGTATTTTTAGACCAGTACCACTTTTCTCCAATCTCTTCTGGATAGAATTAATACCCCAGATGACCCAGCCTCCAAAAGCTTAATCCAATGGAATAAGAGTTCAAGTACTTAAAGGAACATGTGAAGAGGCAGAATTACCATCTTCCCGCTTAAAAAGCTACTGACAGGGGTGTGATCTGATTTGAAGGGTTTATTTCTGGTAAGTCAGCATAGTGTCAGGTTAACTCTTGTCCTCAGAAGCCTGCATCCTTCACAGCCCTCCACGTCTTCAAGAGGTAGTGTGACGAGAAATTGCTTACCAGCTCAAAATGGCAATGCAAAGTGTCTGTTTTGCGTCAGCCTCCAGAAAAGTCACACATTTGCAAACTCGCTAGAGTCACCTTATGAATCACTACCCTCATTTATGCTCAGTTTGCTCAGGCAACCACAATTCTGCTTGTATTCCAAATAATAATTTTACCCAAGAGAGAAGGTTGTTTGGATTCACTGTGGCAATAGTGTAGGGACTGGTGTTTGTCAGCATGGAGCTCGGTGTTTTATGTACTATTCCAAAAACTAATGGAATAATAAGAGGTCACAGAGACACAGTGGAAACACAGCCAATTTTTTTTTCCTGCTTTAGTGTAGTAATGTGAGTGCTCCTATTTGTTTTGTTGTAGTTGCTGAATGCACCCCTCACTTATTGTCCCCTGGAGGTATTTTTGTATGTGAGTGAGTGTTTATCACAAGGGAAGCACGGCCCCTGCTGTTTATAACCCCATGGGCAACAGAGAAACTTGGTGCGCACACTTTATGCTCTACTGATGGTTCAACAGAAAATGTGTTGCTTCCCAGAGGTCTACATTAGCTATATTAGCTACATTTTTGCATTAGCTGCAATGAAATTGGTTGAGATATTTGTTTTTTTTTGTTTTGTTTTGTTTTTTGTAGCTTGCTATACTCCAAAAACTAGGCCTGGTTAAAGGCTTCTGCTTCATTCCATTTAATAGCCAGAACCAACTGTCCATTATCCATCTATCCATCGTCCATCCACCCATCTGTGCAGCCACAAACATTATTTTTTAACTCAGTATTTATTAAGTGGTACATGCTAGCCACTGAACTATACGTGGGCCCCTGTTCTTGAGGTGGCTGCAGTTTAGTGAGGAAAGGAGACTGCTATACATCAATTCTGCCAAAATAAAACACTTACTAGTGTGGAGTTCCAGGCAGTATTCGAAGTGCCTTAATACACTATCTTATTTGTGGCCCCACGATATGCCCCCACAATGTGCCCCCATGTTCTGGCCAAACCAGACAACTGACCACATCTCAGCTATATCATGACAATTTATGCTTCTGTGTTTTGTCCTATAATGTCCTCTAACTTTGACTACTTATTTCAATGCTCTTGCTCTTTGTGCAGAGTTACTTGCATTCTTTTCATTCCCCTCTCAACAGCCAATGATTCCATAAATATTTATGAAGTACCTACTGTGTGGCAGACACTGAGCTAGGTCCAGGGATAGACTAGGGAACAAGATACCCTCGGTGGCTAGTATCTCCAACAGCATTGTTCACGTTGGTTTCCTGAGCGAGCAAAAATGAGCACAATCTAAGTGTCAGCCAATACAGTCCATCTTGGGGTTCAGTGAGTAGGCCATGGTCAGAAAGGAACAGTTACCGACTGGCTCCTATTCCCCACTAGTCAAGAAGTGCCCCAGGGTGCACTTCTCTCACACTTCCAAGTAGGCAGATGAGCCAGAGTGGATAAGATTCTCAGACATGCCTAGTACCAGGGCATCAGAGAAGTTCGAGGGCAGAAAGCCAGAGATACATGATACAGCTGAGGAGAGAACCTACCCAGTAATACTGGTACAGATGGTTGCCATAGCAACAGAATAGGTGGACTAGGTGGCAGAGAGGATGTAAGGTAGGACATAAGAGGTGTCTGGTACAGCACCAAAGTCTTAGAAACATGCCCTACAGCTGTGCTGAGGTCAAATATTGACTAAGCAACAGTCAAACATGCAACTACAGCTCTTCCATCCATTGGTACTGCCAATGGAACAGGTTGAACTGGGGCCTGAGAGAATGAGAAAGGTTTAGGGTACAATTCAAAGGCTGTATTTGGAAAGTATGCTGGACAGTTTCTTACACAGGGCATAAGAAATTATCCCTCAGCAAAAGGAGGCCCAGGACTTGCTTGTTTTCTAACAGATGGGATGGGAAGTATAAGACAAACTCTTCTCCAGTGAGATCATTTAGCAGAAGCTTCTAATTCAGTGTCTACATAGAGTCGCTTGTGTGCAAAGTCCAGAGCAAGTCTGCCGGTTTTGGATGTTGCCTGTGACCAATATAATGACCAGAGATTTAGAGGAAGGAACAGGAAACAAAGCATGTCCATCCAATACATATGCACCCCTCATTTCATACACTTTTCCAATAAAACAGACAAAATTTTAGAGTCAGAGAGCTGTAGCTTCTGCCCTTGGCTGCTACCAAAGATCCACATTTCTCAGAAATTTTCACTATGGCACAGGAAATGCCCCTCCTACTAACAATGAGTTGTAGAAATTTCCAATGATATCGCAGCCATACATCCAGGATTCTGACTTAATACAGTCTAAGAATATTACTTCACTCATTCATTCAAATACAATTTTCCGGTCCCTACTCTGTACCAAGCAGGTGCTAGTCTCTCAGTGTTTGAAGTCCGAGTACCTGCCGACTTTACATAAACATGCCCACCTCAACACATGCTTCCGGACTAATGTTCTGGCTTTGCTAAGTGACTTTTTAACCCCGGGAAGAAAATCTCCACATTAGAGTGCAATTCTAAGGTCTTCACAAAGGGAAACATTTCCTTCCATACACACTCAAAATGATTTTCCAAACTCAACCAATGAGGCATCTGAGGCCTATTGATCAAAGCATAAGAAAGAAAACTGATTCCTCCAGAATCCAGGGCAATATTAACAAAACTCTTGTGATCAAATCGAGCGGCACACACAGGCTGCCCACAGGGACAGCCTTCATTGTCTGGTGTCACCTCAGGGGTCAGCGCTGCTTTGAAGGCTGCAAGAGGGCTTTGAGGTGAACCTCCAGACGGGGCTGATGACTGGCAGCTGGAACAACTGATTAGGCACGGAAGAGAACATATTGGAAATTCTTATTGCTTTTGTGATTAAGAGATGGTGGACTCCCCAAGGAAATAAAAGCCTGGTGTTGAAATGAATTCATGAGCCCTGCCTTTAGCAGACGACCAGGAGCTAGCGCCCCTGCTGCTGTGGGCTTTCTCTCTCTGTGGGGCTTAGCTTACTGCTGTCTCCCACCCTATCTCCTGTGGAGGTGGGTAGAGGTGACTCAGGGGAGCTTTATAACACCAACAAAGCAGCATCTGTTGACCTATGTGGTACCCAGATACCATCTCACTGGTTATCTCACTGGGATCAGGGTATTCTAGGCTGGCGCCTTTAACTAGCTAAGGTTAATCTGAGTTATGGTAATAGGCATCTCTCTGTCTCTATCCAAATGAAAACAATTAATCTCCATTTCTGATGAATATAGACAAGGCTCCCTTGGGGATACTTTAGCTCTCACATATTCACTCTGTGAATGGAGGGAGGAAAGGAATGTTAGCTGTTTCTCAAAATGAAGCCTACGTCTCTCAAGCTTGTCCCCAGAACCAGGGAAGGCTGCCATTGACACTGCCTAGTGACTATGATTTCATCATTTTAGAGGCAGGGAAGAGCCCTCGCCAGGCTGAGGTGTACTTAAAACACAGCCAAGTGGAAGGCACACTGCTATTGAAAACTGTATGGGTATCTAGAGTCCTGCCAACAAATCACCCGGGTAAAATATTGATTCTGATTCACTAGGTCTTGGAGGCAGGGAGTGCTCAGATTATGAACT